AACGTTGTTTCATCCTTCTTAAAACTACTGACACTGCTGAAGAAACTGTGTAGAGTACCTTCAGCTTTATTTCGATTGTTATAACTTTCTTCTTCTAGATAATCTAAAATCAAATACCCTGTGGATTCAGATACAAGAGCTCAAATTGTAAATCAATCCTAGCTGTGCATGTAAATGAAACCTCCTTGTAAATCGAACATCCCACTGCCACAGAGCAGCACTGTGGCACTGACACTTGCTGTGGGATGTTTGGTCTGCTAACAGACTGGAGCAGGACAGGGAATATGTGAGGACGTATTGGAATACATCTGAAGAGTAGTGACTTATAAACACTTCCAATAAATAATAAATGCCCAAGGTAATATTCTTTCTAATGAACATTTTAATGGTTTCTTTTCCCCAGTAGGGGACTCTCAGACTTCTTAATAGAGGCACAGAATGAACTTTTTGTGCCATGGCTGTCTCCATCACCTTTTGTTTTCTTCTCACCTGTCCCTTATTGCTGGCTGCCACTGCTTCACTCTGTCTGCAGCTGTGAGGGCAAAGTTTACAGTGTCTTCAAAACCTGCTGTTTGTTTTATTTGGTTGGAGCAAAGCTTGATGAGATACAAAGCAAAGTGGAATGCCCCAAGCAGCAGGGAGAACATTTCTGCGACTCAGCCTGCTCCCTACACCAGGCATGAACTGGGAACAGAAGAACCAGGGCTGTTTCTGCACTGTTACAGACTGTCATGGTGGCATGATGAAGATTAGCTGGATAAGCTTTTTAAACTATCATCCAAGACAAACTTCAGACATTTTTACATGAAAGCAATGTATCCCCAGGGCATCCACGCTCTCTACCTAGCTCATCTTTGTCAATAGATTATTTACTAGATGCAAATTTCTTTCTTTTTTCTTATTTTTTTCCTAAAATTTCCAGAGGCACCCTGCATGATAGAAAACAACTTCATGTTCTGCCTTTCTGATCTATCAAATTCCGTAATATCAGAAAACATGAACAGTAGTTTTCTATCAAAGTTCTTTGTGTTAAAATTCAGTCATGCTGGGATATTATGCCTAGCCACCTTTAAATGGTTAAGAACTGTATTTTTAACTGGAGTTAGAATGTTTCCTAAAGGAACCTACAGTCTGGGATGGAGTCCAGATGTAAATTTGAGATGGCTAAAATGGAAAGTCCTGATTTTTTATTAGGCGTGCCATTCAGAGTGCAAAATGAAGTGTGAGCAAAGAAAGCATGTTGGCATGGAAACAGAAAGTATTATTTAATGCAACAGGTTTTGATTCTGACCCGAGAAAGAAACTATTTGTCCTGAGAGTCTGCTTGTTGCCCATAAAATTTTTAAAAGGTAGCAACTCGTCTTCACTAAAGGCCAGCAACTGGAGAGACGGATACCTCAGAGATCTTTGGCCAACAAAAAAAATCTAATTATTCTAATGGTCGTTGTTCTGGCATAGATGTGCAAAAAGGAATTGCTTCAATAATGCATCTATTGCTCACATGATAACCACTTGCAGGTAACCTTTTAAACACATTCTGTTATTTTTAGTAAGGTATGTGATGTTTGTAGAACTGTAAGACATAGTGAGACTAAGTACTTTGCAGAAAAATACACACATTGTCAATTACCAATATTAAAATTTAGGGTTTAAAAACTGTCTCTCAAATTTATGACAAATCCACAATTACATCCTCACTACTTGTTACAACCATTCAACTGAAGAGACTGAGAGAAGAAACGAGTATAGGAAAGCAAGCTGTCTTCTAGATAGGTTTATTAAGGCTAGAACTAATGGCCAATAGCTTAAACTGCACATCTGATGCCAAGTATTTAGCTTTGAAGGACATGCTCATTTTCCTTTCAAGATTAGCTGCTCTGGATTCCTGAGAGTGGATCTGGCTGCATAGCCACATTCAAAACATTTGACTTTCTAATTCCATCTGCTGCCATCTCATCTGCCTCCATGGGAAGAAGCAAATTTACAGCAGCGAAAGAAAGAATGAACCACTTTCCATTTTTTTTTACTTACAGGAAGAAATAAGAAGTACCTCAAATCTTAAGAGTAACTTTAATCTTCCAGAATTTGCAATTCACCCTCTGGACTAAAGATGCTTGAAGAAGTTTGGCTAAGGGTAAAAGTATAATCATCCAGAATGAACAAAAGATTCTAGACGTGACTCAGAGACTCACCATGGAGAAGACTTGGGTCACCCCACCGGAAGGCAGGCAAAATGTAGGCATCTGTGTGCACTTTGTGACCTGAGGATCCTTGTATTGTTTTCACTTCATTGTTTGCAAGTGTCTTCATAGAACAAAGAGCAAAGGGATCTGTGCTTACAAACTGCATGTGCACTGAAGGCAATAAAATCTTCTACTGTGTAGATGCCTGTGAAGTAAAGATTTTCTAGTCTTCTGACATGCCATGCCATGCTCTCACTGTAGCTAAATTTGAATAGTTCAAACCATACGTAGAAACCAAAGTGTAGCCTTCTTATTGTTCAAGACTTGTCTGACCCATTCATAGCTCTTTCTACAGTGGAAAAAAAAAATCATTATGAAATAGACAGGACTCGAGTTTAGTGCATTTCTGTCACTGTGACTGGTGGTTGTATTTGGAATATGCATCCTAGTTAATATAGGCTTATTCTGGCCTAAATTCACAGTCATTTGTCTATATATTTAATATTTTCTGTTATTTAAAAAGAAAGGTGCTTAACATGCTCCAGTGTGGCAGAAAGCTTCCAACAGAGGTACACTTAAAATGCATATTATTTGTTTCATATCCTGTTGAGAGAAGGAAGAACATGAGGTGGGGCTGCAAGCTGTGAATTTCAATGTCTTTTGATGCAGCATGGGTGAAATGCATGTCATGATCTGAAGTCCTCTCTTATGTGTTTCTTCCTTTTCTGCTCTTGCTGAATATTTTGAAATATTCTCCTGTTAATGAAACTTTGTTTTCAGAAGCATGCATATGTGAAATTTTGCTGTTTAAGAATGTCACTTAGATCCTCTCCCATTGCTTGCTGAAATCAATGGGAAGATCCCCATTTCATCAGTCTCTTGGAAAGATCTTCGTAGTTCTGATATTTTTCTAATTGCTGCATTATTTCTTGTTACAAGTATTTGGAATATAGCAAGAACCAGTGGTACCTATACTGGGAAATAATGTTGTCTATCACATGCACTGTAAATTGCTGCCCACTTAAAATACATTAGATGGACACTACCTTTGGCTTCATCACAGTGGGATGCAGCACAGGAATGTGGTGACTTAACAATGCATGATGAAAATACTGAAAAGATAATATTCTGTTATTCTATTTAAAGTATACCTTGTAGCACTTCCTTTGGAGGAACTGAGAAGTAATTATCATCATACCACCATTTCCTCAGAGTGACTAGATTAACAACAGGTTATAGGGGTCCAGAGCTGGGGAATTTAAGCCTTGTTACCATTTATAGTTTCTCTCTGTTCTATAATATGCTTTCCCATTAGCTGAAAGTGCCATTTCAGGAAATTGCCTTCAAGGGTTGGTCTGATGTGAGGTGGGGGAGAGGGGAGAAAGCAATTACCCTATTTCACTATAGATGTAGTAGCAGTTATTTAGTAAGAAACAGGTAGGCAATTTTCTTATCTTCCAGTTCTTCATTTATTGTTCAGTAGGATGGCATCTTCAGGAAGTTCACACAGGCCACTGTATCTCATCCTTTTACAGGTAGTTGGTAATAGGGTAAAAAATAAGTCACTTAGTTGCAATATTCTAGTTTTGTTTGTTGATAAATTTTATTAGACAGAGACTGGAATATTATTTTTATTGATATTTATTAATCATAGGTAAATGGAAAGATATTTGCCTCTTATTCTCAGGACTGGCAATTGTCCTGAGATTATTTTCCTTTTGTGCCATGCTGTTCCTGACAGGACAACTCCTGCTCTGGAGCAGAACAATTGACATTTCTGAAGGCCGTGTGTAACTTGAACATTTCTTAAAGCCCTTAGTAGTTTTGATTTGTGGTTTGAGAGATTTACTGTCTCCTGTTCCATGTTTATTGAATTTAAAAACTCATACATGTCCAGTAAAACAATACCTCAGGTGGATGTGTTTGGTCTCAGACTCCAGACTCAAGTATATTTTCTCTTGCTCTGTTTTGTTTTTTTTTTTTTTTTTTGGGGGGGGGGGGGTGGGGGGTGGGGGTGGTGGGTGGTGGATTTTTTGTTTTGTTTTGTGTTTTTTTGTTTTTGTGGGTTTTTTTGTTTGATTGGGTTTTTTTAATCTTCTCCTGCTCCTGCAAATTCAGGAAGAAAAGGTTAAATTTTTCACATAATGTACTTCTAATCCTCAATGAATGAGATTACTGGGGGAAAGATATCTAGCCACTGAAACTCTGGATAAATTTGCAAGGAGAGAACCTTATAAATATCTAATTCCTTGCAGAAACATCATAAAGTAACACCAGAAGTGAAAGGCCAGCAAAGGCTTAATGTGCTATATATGAATGCCAAGATTATTTTTTCACTGAACTATTTAATGTAAACATGGAATAACTAAATTTTAAATGAGATTAACTGAGAAAAAAATTGTACGTAAACAATTTGTGGAATTCTACTTTCCAACTTTATTTAACATACTTTCAAAAGTTAAGATGTTCTTCCAGCAATAAATTTTGCACAGTCTTCTGTGAACAGGAAACTTCAGTAATGTCCTTGATCAAATAGAACTGATTCTTGGAAAAAATGATCTACAAATTGATTTTTATTCTCATATGACTCATTATGAACAGTTAATTTTTACGTTTCCTCCTGCCCTTTACTCCCTTAATACAGACAAACCCCATGCCTAGACATAGAGTAACTATAGTGACTGATGTTATGATTAGTAGGGTTTTTGTTTTTATTGTTATGGACAGAGTTGAAGCAAGAGTTGTTTGCTTTGGTATAATGTGCATTTGTATTCTATTTTGCAAAAAGTCTAACAATTCAATGTCTTTATTTTCAAGGGTAATTCTACTGGAGTCTTACACCTGCATGCCTCCTGGTCTTCCACATCAGATAAAAAGTAGATCACCTATTTTAGTAGTAAATCTGGTCAGGTATGTTGTGCCACTTCATTTTTAACTGGATTTTAATTGGACAGATGTGTATTTAGATAGTCTGTATCATCTGACTGATGAACAAAACATGTATTCCTCCAAAGAGACCATGTATCTTCTGCACCTTTTCCATCTCATTTATGCACATCTATAGGTAGTGATGTGTATTCAAAAGACATTGATATGAAAATGATGACAACAGATTTTTTTATAATCAGAACAGGGTATGACTGGAGCAAATCAAGAATGCTTCAAAGACTGTGTGCCAGACCTCCTTGACAAGAGCAGGTGGTTGAAGAGTCAACAACATGACATAAGTGCTTTGAGTGTGAATTCGAATGAGCATAATTGATTCACTACCACATGATATCCATATACTTTGTGGGGGCCTTTTTTTCCAATTAATGTTGCATTGAGACACAAATCAGCATAGAGGGATGTTTCTACTAGTGCTGATCAATGAGATACATCATTTATGTGTGAGATTCATGGTTCTATACTTAAGATCTCTTACAGATGCTTCTCTCTTTAATAGTGAACATTTGAAGAATATGTTTTGATGAAAAAGAATTCAAAAGTCCTCTTGATTTTTTGCATAAAATTAATTTGCATAGTATTACATTCTGGTACTTGATTGTCAGTTTCACACTCGATGACAAAATCACCAAAATCTCTCAGAGAAAATTGTGCTGTGGATATCCTAAACAATCATAAGCAACTGGAACACAGCATGGAGAGACGGAATAGCTAATAATTTGTCAAGGGCAAATTACGACAAAGCAAACTAAATTCCTTCCACGATGAGGTAACAGGTCTACAGATACAGGGGACAAACTAAATCTCCTGCACCTATGTTACTGACGGAACTACAATAAGGCACTCTCTGGGATAATATTCTCATCAGAAAACTAAGGAAACATCATCTTGAGAGCAAAGCTGAATGAAAAGTGAAGCAGAATAATTACCTAATTTTATTGTTTAATTGAAATATACTGAGAAGTTTCTAGAGGGAGTTGTTCTTGATTAAGTATTGTTAAATATTTTCATGAATTATGTGAATGAGGAAATAATATTATATGCAGTAAATTTGCATATGACAGGAGATGGGAGGTTTCTGAAGATGTGGAAAGCAGAATTAGAATCCCAAATGATCTTGACAAATTGGAGAGATCATAGAAAAGAAATAAGATTATTTTCAGTAGGGACTGAAATGCAAAGTGCTAGGCAGAAATAATCGCACAAATACAGGATGGGGTAATAAAATAAACAGCAGTTCTCTGGAAAAGATCTGGGAATTAAAGTGAATCAAATTAAACACAAGTTGATGAATTATTAAAAAGCTAAGGGATCAGTTAGTATGTACTTGAAAACCAGAATGCAGCCTGCTGAAGTAATCTAGTATTTTATAGTGGTAAGGACTCAACTTGGAGCACTATAACCAAAGAGAACTTGAAAAAATTGAAGTTATTAAGCACTCAAGAAGAAGACTGAAGGGTCAGGGCAATAATTAAGATGTAAAAAACCTCACTGTTGTAAAGAGGAAAGGAGTAATATGTCCTTTTTGTTCATGGCAGACATAATAAGAAATAACAAGCTAAATTACACCAGATGAGAGTCAGAATAGTTATTAGGAAAATCTTTCTAAACATAAACATAGCAAAGCCTGGGGAGGTGGTGAAGTCACCATCATTAAGAACATACATCTGTCACAAGTGACATGAATATTGATTCTGCCTTGAGGACAAACCAGATGACCTTTTAAAGTCCTTTCCAACTCTAATTCCTATAATTTTATATTAAGACAGGAAAAGATTTTGAAACTCTGTGTATCTTGAATAACACCTAATTCCACAAGGAGATTTATTGAGTCACAAGAAAAATTCTTAGTCAACAAAAGCAATTTTTACCAACATGCAAGAACTGGATTTGGTGAAGTTATTGCTTAGCATTCTTGCCACGTGAATTCTATTTTTAAACTTATATTGACTTATACCTGGAAGTATTTTAAGATTAGGATCTTAGGTTAGTACAAGTATAATAAAATAAATTCTTAAGTAATTTGATCTACTTAGGCAATAAGGGTTGAGTATTCAGTAAAATTAATTCTTTCTCAGTGGCCCTTGGACAGTTTTGGGAAAAAAAGGTGACCAACTCATGCCACCTTTATGTATATTTCTGCTGTTTTGGGCTGCAGCTGTCTCAGGAGCTCTTGGCTGTAAGAGACCCACACAGAGCACTATGTCAATAACCTGAACATCAACATCACTCCCAGCAGAATGGAGAAATGAGTTGCATAAAGTCAGCGCACTGACTTTTTATCACCTGGGCTTTTTCTTCAGTTATTTCTCCAAGACATCTTTTGTGCAAGGTGTATGGAGTGACCAAAGGGCCAGGGGATGAAATGTATCAATTTCATTCCTGTGTCTATCCACAGTTCTCTCTTTTGATAGAACTTGATGTTCTGAAGCGTTACCTGAGCACTGCTCTCAGTCTGTTTTTTTTTTAGGCTGGTGATGAAATGCTTAAAGGATGTAGTGATGCAGAAATATCTGCCCTATCTAAAGAGTGTACATATATTTCTGAATATTTAGAGAAGCTTGTGAAACTTTTTGTACCTTTCTGCTCCCTGAAGTCTGTGATAACTCTTTTGTATGCTGCTTCCTTCCAGCTTTATGTACTGCATGGTACCAAATTACTGCAGCAGAGATTGAGAAACCTCTGTTTAGCAGGTCTGGTTTATGGTTATGCTAAAAATAGAAGTGAACTGTGTAACTCATTTCAAGAACAATTTCTTCACTGAGATCACAGGATCATTTAAAGCTGTCCAAACACTTAGGGTAAGCGTCCAGATAGTTTGGATTTTTTTTTTTTTTTTTTCAGGAAATTTGGACGTGGGACAGCTTACTCACTGTAGATGATTCATGTCTTTATGTCCTAGTTTGAAGTGGTTCACCACACCATGGTCACAACTCCAGAAGTGTCAGATGATCATCAGACATCACTCCTGCCAGTAAGACTGATTGATTTTTCCAGCTTTCTAGAGTTTCCATAACTTTCTAACCTCTCCTCCAAACCCAAACAATTTAGGTTCAAGAACAAGCATTAGGAAACCATTTACAAAATAATTAATACACTAAATTCCCCAGTAGACAAAGCTCTTAAAGCCAGAGTTCTGGGGACCCAAATGCAGAGATACTACCCTTCTCATGGACTTTTAAAGCACTTTTCCATGTTTCCTTGCAAAGGTTTTATCTTTTCCAGTTTTAAATCTTTTTGTCTAGACAGCAGTAAGTAACTGGCATACCTTTCAGTCAAGAATGGTATGGTTAAGTCTTTCAGATAAATATAACTGGATATTTAAATACAAAAATAAATGTCTAAAGCTCTACTTATTAGTAGCATCTGTCTCGTGCTTGATGTGTACTTCTCAGAAATATTCTAATACCTACAGAGGCTATATTTAAGCAACCTTGGTTCTGCTTTGGTGATCACATGTCGTGCGCTGCCTATATTGTTGATTTTGTTGCTAAGCCCCACTGTGAGTTTTAGTTTCCAGTGTTTCAGGTTACATGTTTAAACCCGGCCTTCCAACTGTTTCACACTATCCTGTGTGTCCCCATCTACTAAAGCTGATACTCTGGAGGCCCTCTCTTTCCACATTGGTCCAGATTGGCATGAAAAATTGAGTGGAAGGAGGAGTTTGGATTACAGATTTTTTGTTTATGATAGTTGTTAACTTTCCACTTCAGAAATGTCACTAAAAGGAAGCCTTAAGAAGTGCATATTGGGTGTATGTGCTCAGCAGATCGTCCTCTGCCACCTTCCCCCTTTCCTGGAGAATTGAAACCATTAAGGAGCAAACCCCAGAAAATATGATGAACCTGGCAGACATCAAAGCTGAGGAACCAAAGAGGACTAGAGGGAAAACAATTCTACTCTAAAACTCTTTCCTATAAGCTTTTGATTTGACATTTTTCATCAGGACAGATAAGGAAAAATTTGATCTATGGGCATTTCTTTGGAGGATTATATTTAGGCCCACTTGTGTTACTGGAAGAGAGCTCCTGTACACCTGTGAGGTTTCAAGTAACTTACAATATAAAGCGTCGGTGACTTCCAGTGGGACTTGGGCTATCCCAGTTAAATTCTGTGCATGATGACATATCGGTCAGCATGATAGGGCTTCATTTCTGCAAGTAGAACCCCCTCATGCACTGTGTTATGGAAATTATTGTTCTGTGCCAAGAAACTTTATGTTACTCCAATCAGGCACAGCTCCATTCCTCCGACTCTCTCTGAATATTTTCTGTACATGGCTATGGTTGGTTTGTGTTTCTTCAGTGGAATAACTCTAGAGTCTGTATAAACGTTTTGATGCATTGTACATTTTTTTAGCAACATGTTATTATTTCTTTGATTAGAGCAGCGACCATTGTTTGTTTTTATATTTAGAGAAGATAAATGCAAACATCCTTACCATCAAGAAGGCTAGGCGGGTTAGTATTGAAGGTAGGTTGTTTTTAATCTCTGTATTACCCATATGCTAAGCTTAGGTTTGCATGTGCTATTTTGCCCTCTGGTCCAGCAGAAGCTGCTGTTTCTCAGGATGCAATGTAAACTATTTTCAGAAGACTTGCTTTTGGGAGGTGAAGGGCAGAAGAGAGAAAAAATCCAAGCTGAACAAATCCATATGCTGAGGTTGACTTTACCTTAGAGAAGTTGCTTGGATTTTCATACCCCTACACCGGTTCATTGATCTACATGCCAAAAAGAGCTGGTTGGTTTTGATTTACAGATTCTACATTGTTTAGGAGATTATAGTCTAATTCTCCTTCTGCTGTGACTAGTCAGGGCATGAACTGCAATCATAATGATAGGCACTCTGTTTCTGGATTTTAGCATGCCAGGCAAGGAAGTCACTTCAAAGTAAAGCTGAAACACGTGAAGAAGTTGTGGGGGAGAGAGCACTAGGAGGAGGAAATTGGATTGACCTTGGCTTATTAAGCAGTGGTATACACTGATCAGTCAGTGAATTTAGGCACCACAAAAAGGATAGTACAGGGTGAAAATGATATCTGGCTTCTATTAATAGAGTTGATGTGAAATAACAAATGCAAGAAAAAGGTGACTTGGACAAGGGATCCATTTTAACGGGAAAATATTTTGTTGTCAGTGGTTGTGTGTAGTATTTGTATTGGAGTTGTGTTCAGGGTCTGCTTTGAGATGAGAGCACAGGGAGGAGCCACACTGCACTTATCACTCTGCATGTGCCTAATAAAAGATTCCCTGTCTTCAGTGGTTCACAGCTCCCACAGGGGTGGGATAAAGGGAGTTCCTGCTAACAGCGAGCATTGAGGGCAGGAGCTTAACTGCAAGACTTTGAAAATGTCCTTGGAATTACTTGGTAAAAAGTAGTTTATGAATGTGTAAATCTGCTCCAGGCATTTTGGTTTCATTCAGATTTTTCTGTTTGTTTCTTTTTCTTTTTTCTCCCTCCTCTTCTCAAGGCTAGCCTGAGATCTTAAAAGGCACTATAGTATAGACCTTTGTATTTTAATAACATTTATGTCTCTCTAATCTCTTACTTTCAGCCCACTCCATATGCTATTATAGCACAAATGAAGTACAAGAAGCCCCTGATTAGGATTCTGGATACTTTTTTGTAATAGACAACTTGCTACATTTTGTCTCTTTGTAGCCAAACATGATCCTCTTTCCCTTGATATTATAAATTATTTTGTTCATTATTTCTGGGACTAATTTTGGGGTTGTTGCTTGCTCAAGAGTAGACTATTGTGTCATCTAACAACAAAATTTTAGCAGATTAGGCTTGTTAGTACTGGCTTCTATCTAAAATAGGTGAGTGGTGTTGTGAAGGCTGAGGTTTTGACATAATATTTACAATTATAAACTCAAAAGTTGCTTTCTGTGCATTTTCTTCAATAGTCAATTAAGATTCTTTGTTCTGGTTTCAGTCAGTAAATTTGCTCATTAGGGTGTTTTCATGTAACTGCTTTTTGATCGAGACATCTGTGAAAAAGTGACAGTGAAAAAGTGGTAACTAAGGGAAAGGTTAACTGGTTAAACCAAACATTAAATTTGAAAAGATTTCAATTTGTGAAGCATTTAAGCTGTCCTAGGTGTAAAATAATTTAGGTCTTGCTTCACCAGTTCACCTTCATTCTAGAAACACTTCAGTTTGTGGACTACAGAGATTTTTAATGTAGGTGTGTGCCTCTGCCTTGTTGGATTAGCCCTGTGTTATTTCATTCACCTGGAGTTGTACTTCCTCTAATAGATGGAGGCCAAGTTTGTTTTATAACTTGAATATTAATGTATATCAAGAAAGCCAGATTTCTTAAGGGAAGCTTGATTTAATCTGAAAGCCAAAACACTTCCAACTGGATACGCTTACATCCCGGCTGCACACACATACATTCTTTGCTCCCTGGCAGTGAAGAATACATGATGAAGCAAAGATTTCTCTGATGTCGGCATTGTAGAGCCCCTTTCTTCTTCCTCTCCTTCTCTCCCCTACCTTTCAGTTTTGCATTCAGGGGTCAGAGAGGTTCAGTTTGGGCATTGAATTACAATGTTGTCACTATTTTGGAAAGGAAAATGCTGGCCGAAAAAGTGAAACCTTTTTTCCTCTCGTTTTGCACAGTAAGTATCCTCACAAGTAAAAGCATATGGATGCAACTGCGGTACCAAATTAAATACTATCAAAAGCATGGTAGGTTCAAAATTGTAGAGGTATGTGGAAGACTGTTTAATCTTTTACCTGTTGTATGTCATATAATAACATTAATATATGTTGAGCAGCCATTTGGGATTTTATATATCAGAGTGTGTATTTTGAAATTTGAGCCTCGTGAAATATTTGATATCCTGAATGGGATAATTGACACAGGGACACTAATTAGGGAGTTGTAATTCAGATGGTTCTGATTGTGTACTTTATACTGACATGTATATTGTCCCCCTGGTAACAGTGTTAATGGTGCTTAGACATGTGCATCAGGAAAAGAGAGCATACCTCTGGGAGCTCTGGAAATCAATCTCCTATGTAATGCCATTTTATAATGCTATAGAAGGAGCAGATTTACACATTTTTCCATTTATTAAGCTGATCATACATAAAATATTCTGGCTTTGGAATAGTTTGACTCAGCTGGTGTTTTCATTCTTAAAAATCTGCAGTGAATAGTACCTTCGCCTGAAACTGAGCTTTTCACCTGAAGTGCTTTACAGTTCTCAGTGCTCACTTGAAATCTTGGGTAAATCTATTATATTCAGCTGAACTGAGTCCTGTTTACCTTATGCAAGGATTATTTCATCAACTCCTGAAATGTAAAACCTGTGGCAAGAGAGAAAAGGCAGTCTTGTGACTGCAGCTCTGACCTAAAGGACACGCTCTCTCCAAGTATGATTTCATTCAGGTAGTGAGAGCAAGAGCTGCATTAAAAAACAAAAAGATTGGCCTTAGGCAGACAGATGAGCTCAGTTTTTTCTCTCTTTTTTTCCTGGCTTTGTGATCATACTACACACATAATCAGACTGTCTGCCTGCTCCAAACAGAGCATTCTTTTATGACATTTCAACAAATCTGAGAGCTCCTGGACTCTCTTTCCTCATCTGCACCAGACTTTTCAAACTTTCTGCATGATCATAAGGCTTAAGTCAGGAAATACTTTTAAAGTGCTCATGTGCTGTATGGTAAGTGAATACAGAGAATTATTCATTAATACTACTTCAGGTGCAGTACTCTACCACTGTAGAAGACAGAAAAGCAAAGAACAGGGTAAAATCAAGTTAAAACTACTGGAGTCTGGTAAATTATAGTTACCAAATTTAAAACCACCTGGGGGATATTGATATCATTCTTGAAAAATGTGTAGAAGGATTTTTAACTTTTTCAAAATTAAATGGATTTTAGGTCTCCTTGTATGCATCTTATCCAGAATCTGGCTCTTTCTGCAGTACAGTGTGTCCTCTGATGCTCATATTTGG